AGCAGTGATCCTACAACTTGGAACCTGGCCGGCAGCTGGAGCATAGCTGCAGACTTACCTGCAGCGCTACATACCATATAGCCACACTCACCTGGACGTGGCCTATGAATGTAACTTGGTGTAAATCGTAAACACATACACATTCAAAGTTGTAAATAGTTTAGGCAAATATTAAAATACTTTAATAGATTCATGGACATTAGGGCTGGAAGGGACCTCAGAAGATCATCGAGTTTCATTAGCAAAATGAAAAGGCCTTTATTAAATTCAGCTCCCTGTATTTGAACTATAACTTGACATGAAATCCATAGCAGAAACATAGTAAGGAAGATAATTTTTGAGCTCTGAAAGGAATATCAGGATGAGAATGGTACTCTTGATGCAAGATGAGAGTAACGCTTACTGAAGCTGGAGTATATTGCTTCATTAGTTTGGCAAACTGTTCTGTACTGTGGAATTCATGTAGGCCAGGAATTCACTAATCCTTTCATCAGCAGACACAGGTCCCAATTCATTGCTTGTATAATTGCATTTATTATTGTTGTATTATACTGGAAATGACCTTGGCCCACAATACCATAATGCAATCCAGTAGTTAGCACAAAATTAGAAAAAAAGTATTTTTGAAAGCCCACTCATATATTTACAAGTTGGGCAAGTATTGAATAGAGTGATACGTACTCAGCCTTTAAAGTGGGGGTAGGGAGAAGAATGAATTTGTAGTTTACCAAAGAAGAATCTCAAAGTTAGGAATGAAAACTTTCTTAAGATATTTATAAGCTATGTTTAATAAATTTACCTTTATGGAAAGTAATTTTGGACACCTGATCAGCTTATGAGTGTGTCTCTGAATTGGTGCAATGCTCTTTATTTTTTACTCAAAATGTGTTACATTGTGTGGAAGGAATTGCTTTAATGCTTTTGAACCTAGGTATCAAGTTAATAAGATAGGAGCACAAAACAAAGGTATCAAGAGTAACTTTTAGGTAGGGAGGGGAGATGGGAAGTTAAGTATACTGGTCCAAAGTAATGAAGTAATGCTAACAAGCACAAGTCTTCCCTGCTATGGCAAGGAATTATTCCTCTCCCCAGGCTGAATTCAGAAAGTCACCCAGGAATTGGACTATTACTTACACTGTTTATTGGAGGCCAGTGGGGATTTTGTGACCCATTCCCTTCCTAGCAGAAGCAAGTGCTCAACTGGGCAGAGAGCTATTACACTTGACATGTTGACCACAGCCTACAAAGATCTATGGGAAATCATATTTTAATACGTTTGTCACTTACTAGCTGGAAAGTGGTGATGATTGAGACTCTTCAGTTGTCTGAATTTTCTCTTTGTGTATTTGTATCATTAAATAGAATGTTGTGTCTGGTATTATTACAATGAGTTTTAGCCAAATTACTACATCATAATAGTAGTCAGATCTTTTTCTGTTGTTTTGGGGAAGTATTTTTTCTCCTTTTCATGACTACAGAAATTTATAGCAATAGTTAAAGTGCAAAGTCAATAAACCTTATTTTCACCTGTTACCATTATGTGAGTTTATGACTGAATTTCTTCATGCTCAATTTTTAAAAACCTCTTAAAATGAAAATACAGTCAGAATGTTATAAATTCCATCTTTTGACAGTTTGACATTGTGTCTTTTAAGTCTAATCAAAAGGAGATTGTTACTGTTATTAGAACTGCACATATAGCCTCCTGAAAATGCTTGAATGAGATTTACAAGGTTTGCTCTAACGTCCTCGCTGAAAATCTAGATTTATTAGCTACACTAACATTTTATAAGCTTTGCCTATCAGAGGGGTTTCAAAACTTTGCCAAATCTGAGGATCACTTTGAGAAGCAATCTTGAGCCCATTAGTTAGTCCCAGTTCAGGAAAGTATGTTCTTAAGTTCATCCCTGTTCACCAAAGTTTTTGAATACTTGTTCACAATCTCACTTACCCTAGACTATAGGGATAGTAAGCAGTCTACCACAAAATGGTCTGATGTGGCTCGTGAAGGTGTGATGTGCCACCTATCACCCCACAGTTTTCCCCTCCATTGCAGTCTTTTGCTCGTCCAAGTCTTGTGTTTCCCTCACTGCAGAAGGGTTGGAAATCTACAATGGCAAGCTCAAGCAGCTGGTGTTCAGCTCTGTGGGGCAAACACTTCTGGTCCACAGCTATAGCTGGGTCACAAGCTCCAGCTGACACTAGCAAAAGGATACCAACCCTTTCTCTAGATGTGTGATGCTGTTGTGAAGCTATCTGATTTTACTTAAAAGTCAATGGGCCAGTTTTTGGAAGACCTGTTAGAACCTGGATAAGTCCTGTAGCACACAAAATATATTTTTTAGATCTGGTTTTGCAACATCATTTTTTCCCAGAACAGCACCTAGCCATTCTTAGATTGATTATACCTCAAATACCTTGCCTGCAAACCCATTCCAAGGATTTATTATTGTTGGAAAATGCTTTCTAATGTCTGTTTTAAGAATATTTTTCCTTTTAACTTTTACTTCCCATAAGGTCTCTTGTCTCATGTATGTGCTATGATTAAAAAAAATTCACCGAAGATGACATACTCTGTGGTAGCTTTCGGAACATGTGCTAAATCCTTGTTTCTCAGTCTTTCTAGATCCTTGTTATTCTATGTTATCATTTGATTTTTTCCTTTTGCCTTTTCTTAACTGGAATTTAAACAGTTCATCCTAAAAATTGATTTGCTGGCCTTCCTTAAGAGCCGTAATATATCTTATAGTAGAAAGTGGATGAGGCCAAAAATAGTAGTCTAATCAGACCATTATACTGCAGCTATAATGTATAATCATGTTGCACTAGCAGCCCCAAAAGCCAGACATGAGGAGAAAAAGATATTTTCTTAATAGTACCATTTTCATCCAGTTATAAATTTCAGAACCAAACCCTTCAGAATGACTAATCTATTTGAGTAGTTTTTACTAGGCTAACTTCCTCACAGTAGATCTGGGATGGAAATATTTCTTTCTACTATAGATATGCAATGCTGTTATTTTCTTCACCAGTCTGGATAGATATACTGGTTGAAAAATGAACAATTAAAGAAGATTGCAACTTCTACTTGAGAAGAATGATTAATACAGCTCTTCATAAGCCTACCCTAGCAAAAATATTAATCTCTTCTCAGAGCTGTGCCAGTTCCCACAAGACTGCAGATATCATTTTCTTGATAGGCTGACCTATGCAGAAGGAAGGTTAAGCTACCATTTTAGCCTTCTGTTACAGAGATCTTAGATGATGCTATTTTTCCTCTTTCTTTTAGCTCTCATCCCTTGTAATATTCATTCTTTATTACTCCATATGTAATTTGTATTTACTTGTGAAAAGAAAAGAAAGGAGTTAACTATATGTGTCAGGCATTTGGCATAGCATTTTGCATAGAAATCATCTAAACTGAAGGGCCTTGGTTTATAGTGAAGAAATTAAGTATCCATTACATATGAAGGGAACGTTTACTTGATCAGCCCCTGCTCCTCCCTTCCGCCATGTCATATATGAAAGAGTTGCACTTAGGGCAGATCTGGCTCTCCAACCTTGGCAGCCATATCAGGGAAATGTCACCCTACCCTCAGCTAATTCCTCACATAATATTTTCCTCCCACTTCCCAGTTGGGACAGTGTAACTATAGGCTCTGGCAAGCAGAGGCTAAGTTTAGCCTATAGGGAAAGATGATATTGTGAATGGCAACATCATGCAAGAATGATAGATTTAAGGGTTGGTTTGTGCAATGGGTATCACTGATAAAGGCTGAAAGTGTTGGTGATATCATAGTCTGCATACAACACTTGGTCATATTTGTGCAGTTCTTAGTGCAGTGTGTCGGTATCCACATTGCAAATCTACCATCATAGCTAGTGGCCAGGGTCTCATTAGCAAGAAATAGCTTCTTAACCAATGACTACAGAAAAGAAGTGAATCAGATTGTCAAATGAACTAATCCTCCCATACTTAGATGGGAGTCATTCCACTGATTTCTCTGAGCTTCAGATGGCTCGTGTCAGGACAGAGTGGGTAAGGTTACAGTGCCAATCCCTACATTATTCCTGGTCTGCAGATAGAGCACCTTCCTGGATATCAGGTACCTTTCACAGGAGATTTGAATTTTGTTGAATAAGATTAAACTGAAAGTTCATCAAGCGTATAGGGAGGTTACTGTTCATCCTTCAGTCATTTAACTTAGCAAAGGATTTGGAAATAATACAATAAAGAACTGAAGGCTGAATGTTGACATTGATTGTTGTTCAGTCTAGGCCTTCAAAAAGAAAACATTCAAGGCAAAGGATATTTAAACTAATATGGTAAGTTCTTCCTAAACAAATACCTGATGCAAGACTGATGATGTTAAATACAGTATGCTTGCCCCTAGAGCAGTGCATTTAACTAAAATGGGGTCATTTGTCTCGTGTGTACAGCTTTCTCTAAACATGACAAACACAGGAAGTAGCTGTTCAGAATCAAATTATTTCTTAGTACTGTTTCTCAATAGGCCTGAAAGCTGTTCTGAGTAAATCCATTGACACCCTTGAGTCATTCCATTACATTCTATGAAATAATACCGGAAACGCTAGTATGTTTCTAAATAGAATATTGCCTTTTTTTGTTTAATACGCATGCTCTCCTGTCCTTTGTTTTTAAGCAGAATAGATGTTTGTTACAGAAAAGTCAGGTAGACGCATGGAAAGAAGTATTATCAATTTTCTGCCTCTCTGTGGATATGTCTAATATTTTGTTTTTAATTATTTTAACGTATCACTGAATCACTATTGTAAGAGGCTTTTTTTTTGCTGTCGTTTCCTGGCTGGGGTTAAATTTATTTTATACTCATTTGGAGTTAATACAAATATACATAGACAAAGAAGAGAAGTTGTTGTCCCATACTAATATTCAATGTGTTTTCCCAGTCTCTGAAAAGCAGCTCAACATATAGAGAGGCCTCAGATTATGCTAAAAGATTCATTTGTTTGGTTTTCAGGATCAGTGGTTTTGGCGTGTCAGAAACAATAGGGTGATGGATGGATATCCCATGCAGATCACCTATTTCTGGAGGGGACTGCCTCCAAGCATTGATGCAGTTTATGAAAACAGCGAGGGGAATTTTGTTTTCTTTAAAGGTAAGAAGAGCTAAAATCAAGGTAACACTTGAAAGCTTGCTGATACTACAAGTAAAAGCTTTCTGCTACACACATAACATCACCTGTGACTTGTGAGAAACTCTGAATTTAGGGGATTGCTGGATGAGTGAACAGATAATGATAAAATGCAAGCCTGCCACGTTCTTTGCTCATATTAGCTACCATTTCTGTTGCTTTTATATATATATATAATTTTTTATATTTGTAATTTTTCTCTGGTAAAGGTAGGGAAGTATCACTGACAGGAAGACAAAAATGAATTAAGAGTATGTTAAATCTTTGCTGACATTCTGTGTGTGGATTAAAAATTGTGTGGACTAACAACATGTGAATGAGTAAAGCTGACATTACACATTATGCTTAGACCATACTAAATCTGTGGAATATTTAAGTGGTGTTAAGGTTACATGTTGTGGGCCATCATATAGTAAGGGTTAGTTCTTGCCTGGATAGCTCTGACTTGGCACTAGTGGGCTGGCGAGCAGGAGTGCTAGAAGCCAAGATACCTGGGTTTTATCTTTGCTCTGATGTAGGGGGAGCAGTGCATCATGGGATGCTGGAGGACAGCAAATAGCTTATTTTATCTCCATAGAACAGGCTGAAGTTACCCTAAGAGGAGCTAGGTAACACAGCCCAGAGGTAGCCCCTGCCTGAAGTGACATAACTTTGAACTGCTCAGAGGACACATAACATGAGTTAAAGAACTTTAGCTTGTGAACACTCATGTTTAAAGTGTTCTTAGTATGGTCTAAGTAAGTATTTCCCAACCTTTTCCAGCTGAGGGTACACTTATATTAATACAAATTTTCTGTGGCACACCTGTTAAGGCATTCCCCATCCTCATACCTATTGTAGCTCGTTGCCATGGCAAAGTTCTGTGGCACACCTGTTCATTTCTGATGGCACACTGTTATGCCATGGCACACTGGTTGGGAAACACTGGTCTAAGTGTAACGTGATTTTACCTTAAGGTTCCATGTGTTTTCCATAGTTTTGTCTTCATCTCTGGTATTACTAGAGACATTTGCATATTTTAAGTACCATCTCTTCCTGCTGTATGTATCTTACTGTGTGTCATCTGTGCCATGTTACTGTAGCAGATCATTTCCAGTGAATTGATGGAAATCATGACGTTTCTTATTTCAGGTGGGAAATGAATTGCTAACAGATATTCCATTTTCATGTAAATGTGACTAGTAATTAAAAAAAAAGTATGATAAAGAATAAAACTAAGAAAATATGTTTTGTATACTGAATTAAGCAGTATGTTTTTTTCCAAGGTTTACTTCAGACATCAGCTGTTCTTTAATTTTAAAATTATTAAATATGCATCCAATTTAGATTTAATCTGAAAATTGTACTTTATGTTAAAGAAATACCAGTTTAACATCAAAACTTGTTCAGTGGAAATGAAAGCCAATGTAAAATATGATTATTTATAAGCTAGGAATTGTCAAAGAAGAAGAATCCGAAATGACAATTAGGAATCCGGTTGTAAAGCTCAGAATGAAATATGTAGGTTGTGACTGATTCATTGTTCTGCTCTTTTTCATATCATTAGCTGCTTACAGACATGGTAAAAAAAACAAAACAGCACTTTACCCTTAGCTATTAGATTAACGCTCCAAAACCCCTGTTGAAGCGTGCAAGCTCTGGGCAAGCTGAGTCAAACTGATGTGATTCCTCTTCCAGTCAAGCACTGTTCTGTTTTGGCTTTTTTTCCACATCTGTCAGTGCCCATTATGCCTATGAAAAACAGAAGAAACAGCTTCAAAGTAATATTGAGGTTGTTATTTCAAAAGTGGACCCACCTTTATAGTAGGAGCACTAGCATAATGCTGTATGATGCACTACCATGATGAAGAAGGACTATATCCCAGATCGAATTATTACCGTGGAGTGCAAAGTGGCAAATATTAAATAGTATGCAGAAATACTGCACCCTGGCTAAATACAGATAATGATGATGAATATTTTGTTCAGTTAATAAAAAGGGTTCTCATGAACCCTATACATATCCTAAGGCAAGTTGCGGGTCTTTTTATGTACTGTGTATGTGGTAGCCACACAACCATAACATATGGCGTCTTTACATGTACTCCGGTGTGCGGGGTGCTTTAATTAGAGCGACTCTTGGGAGCTGTTCTAATTAAAGTGCCCACAGCATCTCGTGTATTCAGTGTCCCGCACTTCAAAATGGTGGTGGGGACACTTTAACTAAAGCTTGTTTGACACTAAAGCACCCCCACCACCATTTTGAAGTGCAGGGATGCTAAATACACATGATGCCAAGGCTGCTGGAGCATGCTAATCAATCAAGTCTGCTCTTGATGTTGAAGCAGGCATCCGGCACATGTATAGGTACCCATAAATTCCAGGGCCAGTTAATAATGGAATAATAAAAGAATCATGTGAAAAGTTACATTTTTTTCATCTTCTCAATAATACCTTTTTCAATTTTCTCAATAACCCTTTACCTCTAATTCTTCATAATTAAGACTAATTTTTTAATATAAAATACCACAAAAACATTGTCTTGGATCCTTCTAATCAGGTTACCTGGAAGCAAAGATCTGTCAGTCTCATTGCATAAGCCCTATTCAACCCATTTCCTTTCAGTTGTTTTCCTTCTGCATGCTACAAGAGTGAAACAGCTGCTGCCTTAGTATTCATCTGCTGGTATTCACTCTAATTCTGTCTTATTCATTTTCTCCCATTCTAGCTCAAGAAAAGATACAGAGATAAAGAAAGAGAGAGAGCAGAGCAGCACAGAGGTGATCTTATTCCTTCTCTGTCTGCCTTCTCGAGGTTCCCACCTACTGAGAGCAAAACAGTAGAAGGAAGAGGTTCCTCCTCCTGTTTTAGCTTCCACTAATTAAATTCACTGATTTATATACATCTCCTTCAAATCACCTCTTTTCCTTCTTCTCCACAACTCAGCCCATCTGTGTAGCTGTGGAGCTTGATTCTGTCTAGGTCTCTCTCATATGTTTTTCTATTTGTGTTTTAATAAGGATTTACATCACCATGATATCTGAGAACCTCTCTGTGTAAATTTGTTAGTCGTAATTGGAGTTGCATAAACGTAAATTATGATGTGAAGAAACTGAGGGCTTAATTCAGACTTGCAGGAACACCATCTTGGCTTCTTTCAGACGTTTGTCTCACAATTGGGGTCTGATTAATTTTATCGTGAATCCAAAAAATCATGCATCTTGCCATGCCACATGTGCAAGGAAGGTTGTGTGATTTATGGGATCTGTGATAACATTTGTCAGATTCGAATTATGCATCTGCTGGCTGCGCCTGTCCCCCTGGGTCGGAAAAATTGGGGAGCTGCCCACTCCTTGGAAGCACCCTGATCCGTAGCTGTCTGTATGGCACATCTCAAAACTGCTGGGTGCAACCAGCAAACTGAACACTGGTGGTAGCTCAGCTCCATGGACAGCCAGAGATGGGTGTGCTGGGGATCTGGGATGTCCCCACATGCAGGGAGATGGTGGTTGGCACAGTGCATCTTTAAATGTTTCTGCAGGGGCAGAATCAATGGGTCCCTTCTGTACCAGGAATCTTAAAGCCCCATCATGCAGCCAGCATTGGGCTGCATAGCAGGGCTTTAACATTGCCATGCATTCAAATTAAACTGTGATTCAAGCCAGCCACAAAGATGTTCCACATTAAATCTGAAGCATCTCTGTCACTGGTTTGTCATTTTTATTGCAGGACAGCTTGCCTGAACACTTGGCATGTTTCAAAAAAGTTACAAGACGCTCCTTTAAATCCACAACAAAAGTAACATCTGGAGGGGGCCCTTGACTGCCAGAGCTCTGGATGACTTTATCAAGCTGGCAGCAAAGAAAGAAGGGAAAAATTATTGTTTAGCTTCAGGTAAAAGTAAAAATTTGAATATCAAATCAATGAGACGCAATGAAATGGAGCCTCATACTGCCATTGTAACAGTCACTCCTGTTGTCTGTATTACATTAACTGGAGGATGAATATATGCAGTCAAAACCTTGCCTAGTGTTCCTCCATGTTCTACTGGGAAGAACAAACTTAGCAATCATACCCACTTCTGTACGATCCTTGCCCAGAAGCCTTCAAGCTTATTAATTGTTTACAAATTCCAGATGTGCTGCTGGCTGCCTCTTCACTGGTATAATTTCTTAGGAAATAACAACCAGACGGTATAGATCCATGGCTTTTTTCACATAGCACAGAGATACCCAAATAATAATTCTATTCAAGTAAAATCACTGCAGTTTTCTTGTCTGCCTTCTCATCTTGTATTGTATGAGTGTGGCTATATGTCAAAACTCAAGTCTCTTAGTTTGCTAGATGTATGATATTTCATTAACTGTCTTAGAAACACATCCCACTTTACCTTTGTTTCCATAGTCCTCCTAAAAATGGAGTCGATCAAATGCCAGTGTTTCGATCTAGGGTGTTTCCAGGATGTCTTGAGCTTGTTCCTTTGATGGAACAAATGTATGGTGTTTGACACACAGCCACTGACATTCATAAAATGAAGATGCACACACAGGCCTTGTCCACACAAGCATGGACATTTGTTTCCCTTGGGACAAGAAGCAGAAGGGCACCTTGTGATTCTGCTGGTTGTCCCTGGGCATCACCTGTGCCACACGCCCTCTGGCACATGGCAAGTTACCCCAGGTGGGGTAGGAGTGGCTGGAGCCAGCACTGGGCTGGCCCTATCAGCCCTACCTGGGGTCCTGGGGATCTCCTGGGTCTGCAGCAGAGGCAATCCTGCCACTCAGAGCTTGGCCAGCAGCTGGAGCATGGCTCCAGCTGGCCAAGCTCCAGTTCTGAGCATTACATAATGCCCCCACGTGCAACACTCCACTTTTTTTTTTTGCTCAGGTTTTTTTGACCCTTGGAGATCCAGGGGTAAAAAAAAAAATGCTTGGTATTCCCTAGCAGTGCAGAGAATAGCTGAATGTGCAGTATGTGGTGCTGCA